CTAGTTTGAAAAAAAAAATCAAAGGGAACCATATTAATTGAACAGCCTACTGACAAATTATGCATACAACTAGCTCAAGGAATATAATATATATCTAGGCAAGGTTTATCTGAGAACGTTTGGTTTTTGACCAAGCTTTATCTACATGGCACATGGTAATTAAAGGTACCAGACTGGTAGAACTAACCTTCTTGGATGTTTAACAGACATACTTTGAGGCCTATACTAATTTGGTCAGAGGGACATTTACTCCTTGCCCTCCTAGGTTGACTAAGTCCCTGGGGACTATGAGCATCTCTCAAAACGTCCTGTAACTGTGGTGAGTCGCCTTTCCTCTTGGCAAGGAGGCCATCAAATGGACTTGAACCAGTGTCCAGTCTACAAAGAGGAGGGTCAACAGAGAGGAAACATTTCCTCCATGCTTCCAAGCGAAGCCATCCAGGATCGAGCAGGATCTTTGACTTATCTTCACATAGACAGAACTGGTAAAAGAAAAGAGCCAGGGGCTCCTCCCAAGCCCATGTGACCCCTGAGGAACAGATCCTCAAACGGCCTTAAGCATAAAAATAAAATGGTTTATCTGGGCCAACTGTATGGTCTTAAACACCCAAAAGGAAAGTATAACCAAAGATTAAAAGGGTCAATATAATTCTTTAATGTGAGTCCATGTGTATAGCTAAAGGCTACATACAAGAAACAATGCCAGACAGGAGATACCTTTCTTTGAGTTGTTGGCCAGGGTGGCTCAAGAGACTCCTAGACAGTAACCCAGCATAGAACTGGAAAAATGAACAGCAGACCCCAATCTTATCGAAAGGAATACTGGCAACTGATTGCTGCTGGATGAGGAAGAGCTGATCTTCCTAAAACAAGGAATTCTAGATAGGCTGACTAGATTCAGCAGATGGACAAGCACTGGGGAACGGCTAGGGGTGCCGACAACACACTGGACGGTAACAGGGATGACAGAGTATATAGGCTCCAGTGGGGGGGAGGGGTATGGGAGGGTGCCATTTGGGATATGGGTATATAGATGAATAAGTTTGGGATGTTCTATATGAAATACACACCAAAAAATCAACAGATTTTAAAAAATGAGTTATATTTTAGGAAGAAGCATAAAAATTTGCTGCATATTAGTAAGGGTGATAAATATTACCACTTAAATCTACCTGATGACTTTATATCCATACTCATGTGCCAAAAGTAACCAACTGTGACTAGTAGCGATCAGCTAGATTAGAGACGCATGTGGGAATATCTAAGTGTTAGCAGCATTAAAAATGAGTTTTTCTGTATGAAACAGTATATTTTAAAATGAAATAGAGATCTTTTTTAAAAGTTAAAACATGCCAGGCGTGGTGGCGCACACCTTTAATCCCAGCACTCGGAGGCAGAAGCAGGCGGATCTCTGAGTTCAAGGCCAGCCTGGTCTACATAGTGAGTTCCAGGACAGCTGGGGCTACAGGGAGACCCTGTCTCAAAAAGACGAAAAAAAAGAAAAAAAAAAATTAAAATGTCATTCAATTTTATGTCTTATAGGGTTTATACCGAGTTCAATATTATATAACTATTAATTCAACTGTGAACCTAAAAATTTACAGGCAATTTTGAAAGAGATGCATCTTTGCTCTGGAAATTGCTATTGAATATGTCAATGCTGTAATGAAATGGCTTCTTCTAATCATGTGGTTATTAAATAATTAAAAAAAAAAAATCTACCTGCCTCTGTCTCCCAAGTATTGGGATTAAAGGCATGTGCCACCATGTCTGGCAGAATTTCGTATTTAAAATTTTTTTTAATTTACTCATTTACTTGGGGAGTGGTAGCATGTCCCACAGCATGACTGTGGAGGTCAGAGGATGAGTCAGTTCTTTCCTTCCACCATGTGAGTCCTGGGGCATCAAACTCAGCCTTGGTGGCAACTGTCCTCACCCTCTGAGTTTTTTCACCACCCCTGTATTATTCGGAAGTTTTTTTGGTTTTTCTTGGGGGGGGGGTCTTTCTGAGGCAAGGTCTCCCTGTAGTCCCAGCTGGTCTGAAACTCAGAGATCTGCCTGCCTCTTCCTCCTGAGTGCTGGGATTAAAGGCATGTGCCACCACGCCTGGCAGGGTTTAAGATTAATTTTTTAAATTATGTATGTGCAGATCTATCTGTATGTAGGTATGTGCACAAGTGTTCAGGTGACTGAGGAGGGCAGAAGGGTCCATGCCCTGGAGCTGGAGTTACAGGTAAGCTGGAATCACCCAACATGGGTGCTGGGACCAAACTCTGGTCCTCTGTAAGAGCAATATATACTCTTAACTTCCGGGTCATCTCTCCAGCCTCCTGTTTTATTCTTTACAAGTATCTTTTTTTTTTTTTTTACTTTTAAAATTTATTTATTTATTATTTAATGTGTATGAGTGTTTTGCCTGCCTGCATGTAGGTAAGTGTGCCAGTGCTGTGCAATGCCTCAGATGCCAGAAGAGGGCATCAGATCCCCTGGAACTCGAGTTACAGTTGTTAGCCACCATGTGGGTGCTGGAAACCAAACCTGGGTCCTCTGGAAGAACAGCAAGTGCTTTTAACCCCTGAGCCATCTCTCCAGCCCCTTCATGTTTTTTGGAGGGGGGAGAGGAATCATTTGTGTACACATGTATTATGTGTGCACACCTATGTGTGTGTGTTATGGGCAGGCTGTGTACACGGATGCCACAGAAGGACAAAATGTGTCCTCTCTTGCTCTCTACCTTACTGTCTGGAGACAGGGTTCCTCACTGTACCTGGAGCTAGGCTATAGCCAGTAAGCCTCAGTCACTCTGTTTCCATCCCCACACAGCACTGGGGCTGTAGACACGTGCAGCCACATCCAGCTTTTTACATGGGTGCTGGAATTCAAACTCAGATCATTATGGTTGAGCAGCAAGCACTCTTGCCCAATGACCTCATCTTATTAAAATGGTAAAACCAACTCCATTTTGCTCTAGCTGACTTTTGCTTTACCTTGTGTTTTTGCCCAGCCGTTCCCACTGCAGCCAGTCAGGCAGAACATCTCATGCAGGCAGTTTCAGGGAGTACATTGTTTCTACAATACTGGGACACTTACTTGTAGAAACTTACAAGTAACTACAGTGATCTGATGAAACTGTGGTTATTGGCTTTGTTCCTAGCATAATGGTTTTAAGCTTTATGAGCTATGCCCCGCTTCTCCTTGAGGTCAAGAGCTCTTTTGGGCATTAGCCCCCTCTCTCATTTCCGGCTAATAAAAGACTCTTGATTCAACCCAAAATTGTGTGCCATTTCTCGCTCAGTATTATATTACCTACTATCTTTTTTCCATTTTTTAACCCAAAATATTTATTATTTACAATGGAGAAAAGAATTTCAACTTAAAAAAAAAAAATTATTTTATCAGTGTGTTTTACTTGCACACAGAGGCCAGAGGAGGGTGTTGGATCGCCTGGAACTGACGCTATAGACAGTTGTTAGAGGCAAAGTGTGTGCTTCCTAGGAACCGAACTCAAGTCCCCTGCAAAAGTAGCCAATGCTCCTAACTGCTCAGCCATCTAGAGTCTCTAGCCCCAACCTTTCCTTTTTCTTTTTTTTTTTTCCTTTTTTTTGGGAGACAGGTATTACTCTGTAGCCCAGGCTGCCCTGGAACTTACTATGTACTCTAGGCTAGCCTCAAACTCATGGAAATCCTCCTCCTGTCTCAGCCTCCAAACTGCTAGAATGACAGGCATGAGCCATGACACCCAACTGAAGTTTTTTTGTTTGCCTATTTGTTTTTGAATCTGGGTCTCAACTATATAGCCTGGACTGCCTAGACCTCACTATATAATCTAGACTGGCCTCAAGCTTGTGATCACCCTGCCTTGGCATCCTGAATGCTGGAATTACAGGTATGTGCCACCACACCCAGTTCTTTTTAAAAATCAAGTATGGGCCAGGCATGGTGGCACATGCCTTTAATCCCAGCACTTGGGAGGCAGAGGCAGGCGGATCTTTGTGAGTTCAAGGCCAGCCTGGTCTACATAGTGAGTTCCAGGACAGGTGGAGGTACAGGGAGACCCTGTTTCAAAAAGACCAAAAAAAAAAAAAAAAAAAAAATCAAGTATGGCCAGGTATGGCGGCATATGTCTGTAATCCCAGAACATGGGAGGTGTAGGCAAGATCAGAAGTTCAAGACCAGCCTCAGCTATTTAGGAAGTTGGAGTCTACATACATGAAAACCTGTCTTTGTTTTTTTTTCCAAAGGTCTATTTAGTCCCAGCACTTGGGAGGCAGAGGCAGGTGGATTTCCATGAGTTCAAGGCCAGCCTGGTCTACATAGTGAGTTCCAGGCCAGCTGGGGCTACAAGGAGACTCTGTCTCAAAAAACTTAAAAAAAAAAAAATTTAAAGAGGCCTATACCCAATCTAGACATTTTAGTACCCATTCCCATCAGAAAGTTTTTCCAACAGTGTGGGGGTCCATACTTTGAATAAAGCAATAGTCTATCACCCCATCCACCTGAGAGGTATGTTGGTAGCTATCCCTCATGTAAAACCCATCATCTGAGTTTCCCACTCACAGAAACAGATATTAAACCAGAATTATGCCACTAAATGTAATTATTTTTCTTTATCTAAACAGAGGTAGTTACATGATAAATTGCAACAATCCAATGATTATCTGGGCTCCCCTTCTAGCAAGGCATACAAATCACAATTGGCTTAATTAACAGATCACATTATTTTAGAAGATACTCTACATCGAGTTTTTAAATATATACATATGATATATACATATCATATATATATAATTGGAGATTTTATTGTACTCCCCACTTAATGTAAAGCTGGCGTGGTAGTGTACATCTTTAATCCCAGCACTCAGGAGGCAGAAGCAGGCAGATCTCTGTGAATTCAAGGACAGCCTGGTCTACATAGTGAGTTCCAGGGCAGCTGGGGCTACAGAGAGATGCTGTCTCAAAAAGACCCCCCCCCCAAAAAAAAAGTGAGTTTAGATACCTACCAGCATACCAGACCCTTGGGTTTCCTTCCTCCATTCGATTTACCCATGATTCATTCCAAGAGTGAGCCATGTCTACCAAGAGCACCAGTTGGATAAGGATGAAGAAAGCAGCCCCTGACATGCCAACACCAAACCAGACTGTAACCAAGAGAACAGTTATTCCTTACCATTAAGAATAACATTTGAGAATGACTGCCAAACACTCTAAGCAGACTTTAGGTAAGAGAGAGGTCGTTAAGACTTTCTGTCTCCAGCAGTACAGCAGAAGTTGGATGTCTCTTTCCACCATGTGGATTCCAGGGATCAAAGTCAGACCATCAGCCTTGGCAGGAAATACCTTTATCCACTGAGCCTTTTGCTAGCCCCTTCAGAGCTTTTTAAAACTTGTTTTAGCTTAAACCAAAGGGAGTCTAAGACCTCACATTCCAAATGATTCTGTTAAGTATTTTCCTTCACTCTAGGGGAAGGAAATTCACAGGGGAAATCCTCAGCTGTCACACATCATGTTACAGAAACAGGTCAAAATGGGAAAAGCAGCACAAGAATCCCAAGTCTTTGTGTTGACAAGCTCTTTGATAACTGTCTTGTCAAATGAGACGATATATGGTTAAAATATTACAAAAATGGTTAACATATAGTACCAGAAAAGCTGAGAAATGAACTAAATGCCCCCTGGTTTTAATCCACTATTGTCTTAGTATGTACAGTCATATAATTGGACACCATCTGTTCGGGCCAGTTCTGCAAAATCACTAACAGAAATGCAGCTCTAAATCAATACTACGGAGTTTGTACATGCTACAACCCTCAAGTAGTAAAAGTCATACCTGAAGTGAAGTGGCCGCCAGGGATGTAGAAAGCTCCAACCATGATACCAACAATGGCAGCAATTTTGAAGAACCAAAACCTATTAAAATATAAAAATGCACTTATGAAATGCTAATTTTCATCCTTTCACTGAGAAAATTGCATTTCTGGATACAAAAATAAAGCCTAAAAAGCATCTAGATCATGAAGTCTAGGCATGTGTCTTTATTTGACATGAGGCTACTTCACCCAGTATCTCACACAAAGTACGTTAAGCCAGGCCTCATGGCACAGGCCTGTAAATCCCAGTTACTTAGGAAGCTGAGGCACAAGGATACCAAGCTCCAGGCCAGCATGGGCTACAGAGTAAAACCCTATCTCAGTAACCAAATAAAAAAGTTCTGTCAGGCGTGGTGGTGCACACCTTTAATCCCAGTGCTTGGGAGGCAGAGGCAGGCAGATCTCTGTGAGTTCAAGGCCAGCCTGGTCTACATAGTGAGTTCCAGGACAGCTGGGGCTACAGAGAGACCCTGTCTCAAAAAGTCAAAAAATAAATAAATAAATAAATAAATAAAGTGTTAAGAGGGCTAGGGATGTAGGTCAGGGGTAGAATGCTTGCCTAGCATGTGCAAGGCCCTAGGTTTAATCTTCCATCATTACAAATACACAAAAAGGTAAAGCATTAATGTTACAAATACTGGTTTAGTAGAAAGGGAGCTGAGACTAATTACTCCAGATGAGCTTTATTAGTAGTAGGACATCATGATCATAGGCAGCCATCACAGATGGCATGAAAGGGGTCCTGAAGAGAAAAAAAGCCTTTAATTCCCTTGAGGTCCCAGACTATCAGGAGAGTTATAGCATTATATATATATACCACAGGCAGCAGAAGCACGATGGGGTCCTGAAGGGAAAGAAAGTTCCTAGTGGAGGGGGCGATATCTGACACCTGGCCTATGTGTAACCTAGCCTATGTAACAGGAGACACAAGGTAGGAAGGCTCTAGATAAAAGTGAAGTTATAATGCAAGTGTGTGTGGGGGGGTTGTTCACAGCTGCAGGGAGGAGGAAGAAAGTTCAATTCTTTGTTAAGAGCTGCAAGGTCACGGAAGCTTATCAATTCCCTGGAAGAGAGCTGCAGGAGGCACGGCCTGGCTTTGGGGAGAGAAGGTAGCTAGAAGATCTGCAACCTAACAACCAGCACCCAAGGTAAGTTACTCACATTCATAAGAAAAACAGAGTATCTTATTTTTAGCACTTAAAGGTATTGCTTTTTCTAGAATTATAAGTTCTTACAGTGTTAGCTACATGGCAAGCCATTAATGATTAAATTTTTTTTTTTGGTCTTTTTGAGACAGGGTCTCCCTGTAGCCCCAGCTGGCCTGGAACTCACCATTGTAGCCCAGGCTGGCCTTGAACTCACAGAGATCCACCTGCCTCTATCTCCCAAGTGCTGGGATTAAAGGCGTGCGCCACCACGCCCAGCTATGATTACATTTATGAGAAAAAAAATTATTCCCCCAATCCTCCATTTACAACACAGGACACGAATATTTTGTCCATAATCACAGAACTTATTATCTGCAAAGCTGGGAACAAATCTGACATTCAGTCCTACAACCTTTAATATTGCCTTAAACTGGGTGTGGTGGTACCTGCCTGTAATCCCACCAACTAGAGAGCTAGAAGCAGGAAGACCAGGAATTCAAGAATGGCTCATTAGATTCAAAGAAACCAAACCAACCCAAAATGTGCCATGCATGGCAGAACATAATGTATCTGGCTTTGGAACCCAACAGACCTGAACTTCAATCCTATCTCCAACCCTCCCTGGCTAAGAGATCTCAGGCAACACATTGAACGTCTCTGAAGTTCAGTTACTACATCTATAAAACAAATTATAATAAACACAAAATTTACAAAGCTTCCCTCAGCTTTCAAATAATAAGTATATATAAAAGAGGAACTGGTGGTTAGGCATGGGAAGCAACAGATTATGTAAATCAGTAGCCCATATGCACACATATGTATGTACATATGGTTCTTTTATTGCATATCTTTCTTATATAGTTTATATATCAGGTACAAGCTTATCATTAAATAAGAAAGGAAAACAGGTGTATAGTACTAGCATTGTATTGGATCTATTTCATAATGTACTCTAAGAAAAATCTAGGCACTGAAGCAAAGGTATTTTAAAAAATGACAATGCATGTGTAACAGATGAGAGGTACACCTGGACCACTGATCTATGTGTTCTGTTGCTTCCATCCAAATGGCAACATTAACTGCTGAAAGGGAAGAGCCACATATTGAGTCCATAATCTTACATACCCATTGTGTACGGCTGCTCTGGGGTCTTTACTTGTTTTTACTTTTAACATGAGCAAAAAGAAGGCAAAGAAGAAGATGGCCAAAGCAAAGTTGATCCGATACACAGCTTTAAAACCGACCAGCACATTACAATCTTTATCTGCCTTTGTATCAGTCACCTTGATTTGAAATCCTCCTTCACAGAATCCAGGAATCTGGAGAGGGAAGCAATTTTAATGCCATGAAAATATCAACATGAGCCAGAAATTCTATCTCACTCCAGGAAGCAAGGCCAGGCATGGTGCCGCCCATCTGTAGTCCCAGCACTTGGGAGACAGAAGCAGGCAGATCTCTGTGAGTTCAAGGCCAGCCTGGTCTACATAGTAAGTTCCAGGCCAGGTGGGGCTACAGGGAGACCCTGTTTCAAAAAAAAAAAAAGATCCCTTCAGCAACTGCAAGACTGACTATTGGACTTTTGACTTCCAAATGACTAACAATATTGTTAGAATCTTGTTAGCAAAGAACTTAAACAATTCACACTTAAATATTAGAGTATAGGAAAAGTGGGTGGAAGTAGTTAGGGGGTGCAGATAGGGGAGAGCATCAAAATATGATCAAAATATAGTGTCTGAAATCTGCAAAAATTCAATGAAAAAAGGGGGAGGCCTGGGTGCAGTAGCTATGCCTGTATAATCCCAGGGGTTGGGAGGCTGAAAGAAAAGGATCACAAATTCCAGGCTAGTGTGGACTACATAGTGAGTTTAAGACCAACCTGGGTAATTTAGTAAGCTCTTTTCTGAAGACAAGAATATAGCTCAGTGGTAGAACATAGGATGAGGCCCTGGATTCAGTCCTCAATTAACTCCCCTCTCCTTAAAAAAAGTACTTTCTTCTTACTGCTATGCTAGTAAGGTTTCTCCATTATTCCATGGGATTTTTCAGCTACAACAAACTCCTTCCAAAGATAAAAGGAATAATGTAGTGCCAGGTGTGGTGGCACACACTTTTAATCCCTGCACTTGGGAGGCAGAGGCTGGCAAATCTTTATGAGTCCGAGGCCAGCTGGGCTACAGGAAACCCTGTACCAAGGACTTTCTTTTACCCCTAGCAATGAGAGTTATGCAATATGGGAGTCTTTTAGATAGACCCATTGAAGGGATATTCAATTGCCTCATCCTGAGTCCCTGTTCAGCATGGAAGAAGCCAGAACAGTCTGCGTCCCGATTCCCTATTGGCAATTTGGGTAACCCCTTCAGAGGATGGCATAAGAATAGGAGGTAGGAATTGGCTAGGCAGTTAGGGTAAAAAGACCCCAAAGAAAAGCAGTCAGTTTCTTGGCTAAAACTCACAATGTCCTTGGGCCTCTTAGCAACATACTCCGTTCCAAAGGCCAAAAACGTCAAAAGTATTTGGGAGCTCTTGTCTAATCCTCAAAAGAGTTTAGGGTTACCTTTTCAGAGGGGGGATGTTAGAAGCCCCAATTAAAAAAAATAATAAATCAAAGAAGAAAAGAGTACATGAAGTTATCAGAAAAAAGTGATGGGGAAATATGGGAGGAGTTGGGGGGGGCATGGATTTGATCAAAACACCTTATATGCATGTATGAAATTCTCAATAAATTATATATTTAAAAAAAAAGATTAATGTAGCTTAAAATTTACACTTAAAGGAAAGAAAAACGTCCTGAGGTCATTTCTAAGTTCAGTTTTCCTCTGGTTGTTAAGACTACAGTCTGACGATCATTCTGACTACCATTTCTGGAAAAGGGCTAATCCCTTATATTTTATACATTTCACTACTCTCCAAAGATAATATATACCAAGGCTGGTGGTGTATGCCTGTAATCCCAGTACTAGGGAAGTGGAGGTAGGAGTGTCAGGAGTTCAAGGCCAGCCCAGGCTACATGAAACCCTGTCTTTATTTTTTTTGGTCAGCCGGTTTTGGTTTTTTGAGACGGGGTCTCACTATGTTGCCCCAGCTAGCCTGGAATTCACTATAGAGACCAGGCTAGCCCCTGTCTCAAAGATCCGCCTGCCTCTGCCTACCGGAGTACTGGGATAAAAGGCATGTGCCACCATGCCCAGGGTGAAATCATATCTTTGATGATGATGATGATGATGATAATACTCCCTCCCCAATTGCAGTGATCCTGATTGAGTATAACAGTAAGAACAATTCCAATCAAAGATTTAAAAGCAATAAAAATAACCCTCATGGTAAGGTGCTATAACATCTACTCACTTTCTTCAGCTCCGTCTGTATGCCTTCTGTCATCATGATCGCAGACAAAACAGTGCCAAGGATGAGAATAAAAGCATAGATGAGTCGAGTCACAGTAGAATTCTTTATGCTGGGACAGCAACTGCACAGCAAACATGAGGCGCTACTGCAGAGGCATGGAACCTGTAGGAACACACCACAGGCCATGAGAGCTCCTTGACTGCTGGTATACAGTAGATGAGGCAAACTGGGGTTTGACAGTTTTAAAACAGAGTATTATGAGGTTAATGCAGCACATTCCTGTATCCTAGAACTGAGAAGGCAGAGGCAAGAAAGATTGAGATTTTTAGGTCAATTAGGCTAAACATCAAGAAAAACCATGGGGGGCTGGAGATGGCTCAGCAGTTAAGAGCACTCACTGGCTGCTCTTACAGAGGACCCGGGTTCAATTCTTAGAACCCACATAACAGCTAACAACCATCTATAACTCCAGTTCCAGGAGATCTGATGCCCTCTTCAGACCTCTGCGTGCACTGCACAACATGGGTATACTTACATACATGCAGGCAATACACTCATACAGAAAAAATTAACAAATCTTTAAAAAAAAAAATCTTGAAAAAGGAAAACCAGGCATAGTAACACATGTGTGCAACCTCAGCACTCAGGAGGCTGATGGAGGAGCACCACAAGTTTGACACTAATCTGGGTTACACAGGAAGACTATTTCAAAACACAAAACAATATAAAACAATAATGCAAGGGCTCTAGAATCAACGTTATTTCTGCCATTTTTACCTCAGCCAATTATATAATCTAACCCTAGTTTTCTCTCTGTAAAATGGACTCAGTGAAATATTCCTCCTTCAGACTTTGCTACAGTAAGTGAGTCTTCCACACACTAAGAACTCCCAAATACCACATTCAGATATGATATAACCTAACTCTACTTTGTGGTTCCTGAGAATCTTAGCTACCAAGCCAGTGTTACAGCATAAGGCAACATTACACACTTGCTCAGGAAACTGCCTGACTTGCCGTGACATGTGAGGTCACCAAGAATAGGCTAAGACAGATGGCAGCAGAAGTGGCAACTGTAAACAATGGGTGACCCTGTCTTATAATATGGTCCCAGTAGCCATCTTTACACCCTTCACAGTCGGCAACTGCCCACTCAAGAGTTTTTATCTTTATCAGGCTTTTGTGTTAGAGGAAGTCGATTAACTTAAAAGCCTAGCTCTCTCATCTGAAAAATGAGCCTAATGCCACCTTTCTCAACGGTTACTGTGTGCAGAATGACACGTCTGGAATATGAAGTACGGACATAATGCCCAAGAACAGGCTCAATATATTGTGACAAACATTATTTTTTGTAATGGTACAGAAAGGGTGAAGTAGACCACCCAGCTTCATGTCAAAAGGTCAAAATTGTGGTTTATATCTGGCAACTGAAATTAGGGTGCTTTGTTTTGAGCCAGGCCTGGTGGTACAGGCCTATAATCTCAACACTTAGGAGGCAGAGACAGAAGAGCAGCACAAATCCAAGGCCAGCCTGGTCTACAAAGTGAGTTCCATGTAAGCCAGGGCTGAATGCATGAAATCCAATCAGAGAAGTCAGATGAAGACAAAGGCTGTGGACAGCATTCTGGGATGGATGACTATATACAACTTTTTTTTTGGGGGGGGGGGGGGGTCTTTGTGAAACAGAGTCTCCCTGTAGCCCCAGCTGGCCTGGAACTCACTATGTAGACCAGGCTGGCCTTAAACTCACAGAGATCCACCTGCCACTACTGCCTCCTGAATGCTGGGATTAAAGGGGTGCACCACCACGCCCAGCTTATTCTAACTTTACAGAACAAGCCTACTTTTGCCTCAAAGTAGGCTGGGCTCAGAGCAAGGCCCCTGCTGCCTTTAAGTGGGACCAGAAAGAGTTAACTTCAAAAGGCCCTGGCTGCAATCTATCTGAGGGTTTCCTGACATCACTGTAGAGAATTCTACTCTTTAATGAGCAGGTTCAGATTCTCAGAAGTTTGACCTCCTAGTGACCCATGCCTATGTTGCACAGACAGCAAATTCCAAGGAAAAAAAACTACCCATACTGTAAAACTTATTCCTCAGCACAATAATGAAAGGTCCAGAAATGAACCTCACATAGATACCCAGGGCACCAGAAAAAAAAAAAAAATGCATACTACAAAACATTCCTCAGCACAATAATGAAATGTCTAACCACCCAGAAATGAACCTCACATAGACACCCAGAGTACCAGACTGCCCACTGAGAGCCCCCCACCCCATAAAGCAGCCCTTCGAATGTCCTGCTGCAGCTGTACTAGTGTATCTAAGAAATCCTTTACTTCTGTTTGCTTCTGTCTTTGGTAAATTCATTCACATCACTGCCTGTCAATGCCAGATCTATAAACCAAAGAAAGTGAAAGACTACCAGCAAACCAAGGGGGCAGAGTCACAGAACAGTCTCTTCTCTCCAACCTCATAAGGAACTAACTCAAGACACCTTAATGTCTTTTAGCCTCCAAACTTGAGAGACAAATTGCTGTTGTTAAAGTCACCTTTTGGTGGTCCTCTGTTATAAAGTCCTAGCAAACCAATATACCTATTTACTCTTCTGTGTTGTAAATACCTTTACAACAGGAAGGGGGGATACTTGTAGTGTTTTATCTCCTGCACCTTTATACACTAGGAAATCAGTAAATGTCATAAAGCAAACTGTCCTACTATCCGTTTTGTCTTTTCCCAACTTTGGAAAAGGACAACTCTACTCTTTTCTGTTGCTCTGGGCAAAACCCTAGAGTCATCCTGGATACCTGCTCTTTTCCCACAATCCTCATCCAATCTGTCAGCACATAGTCTCTGCCCTCAAACAATATACAGGATCTGACCACTTTCTGGGGATGACCTCGAGCTCCTGATCCTCCTGCATCTACTTCCCCAGTGCTGGGATTACAAATGTGTGCTGCCATGCCTGGTATGTGGTGCTGGGGACTGAACCCATGCACAAGTGTAAGGACATAAGTTCAAATCGCAGCCCACATAAAGCTGGATGTGATAGCTTAATCCCAGTATACCTATGGGAAGAAAGATGGGAGGCAGAGACAGGAGAAACCATAGATGCTCTTAGGACATCTAGCCTGGCAGAAAAACAAAGAGACCCTGTTTCAAATAAGGCAGAAGGCAAGGACTGACACCTGAGGTTACCCTCTAAACTCTACATACATGCCCCGCCCCCCACATACACACATGCACAACACAGATAAGTTTGGGTTTTTTTTTTCTTTTTTTCTTTTTTTGGTCTTTTTGAGACAGGGTCTCAGTGTAGCCCCAGCTGGCCTGGACTTGCTATGGAGACCAGGCTGGCCTCCAACTCACAGAGATCCGCCTGCCTCTGCCTCCGGAGTGCTGGGATTAAAGGCGTGCGCCACCATGCCCGGCCAACACAGGTTAAGTTTTTAAAGATTACTTTAATTTGAAGACACTGGCAATTCAACAGATGCCAAGAAAACAAAGCTGCTCAGACTGGTGATATGGCTCAGTGGTAGAGCTCTTGCCTAGCAAGAGACCCTAGATTCAGTATCTAACACCTCAAAATTTTAAAAAGCTTTCTTAGAGCTTCCTCCATCTGACTAAAAGGAGCAGCTTCTAGAAATTGAGACTGTCGCAATGACAGTCTTTTTCAGACAGGGTCTCCCTGTAGCCCCAGCTGTCCTAGAACTCACTATGTAGACCAGGCTAGCCTTGAACTCACAGAAATCTGCCTGCCTCTGCCTCCCGAGTGCTGGCTTTAAAGGCATGCGCCACCACGCCTGGCTAAATCCCCTTTTAAGATGAATTTTCACCAGACATGGTGAGATGGAGGCCAGCCTGGTCTACATAGAGTTCCAGGCCAGCTGAGGTACAGGAAAAAAAAACAAAACAACCCACAAAATAAAAGTTTTAAGGCCATGGAAGAACTACTTCTCACGCTTGTAAGTAAATCTTATCACAAAACTTCTATCTCATTTGCGTTTTAAAAAACAATTATTGGCCTTATATTTGAAGCCCAGTTTTGCTTCCTTTTCTCTCTCCTCAAACATACAAGCCAAAGATCTAACCACCTCTTTGAGTTACTCATCACCAAGCATTCCTGTATGTCTTATTCACATAAATTAAATCCCCCCCTTTTTTTTTTTGAAACCGGGTCTCCCTGTAGCCCTAGCTTGCCTGGAACTCACTATGTTGAGTGTGTGAACCTCAGGAAAGCCATAAGCTTCATCAGAGGAGTCCATAAAGGCATAAAATCATTAGAGTGGCCAAACAGCTCTAAATTGTTTGTAAAAGCATAAAGTTCTCCAAGTGACCAAACGGCTCTAGACGTCAGTCAGTCTGGCCTTGCTCAAGCCTCATCAGTTGTTCACTGCCGGGACTGAGAACGACTGTTTGTGGAGCCCACCTGTCTACTCTAGGGTCATAGATAACACACTTGCCAAGTCTGAGGAAATAATCTTAGGAAAAAGACCCTCAATCACTCCAAGGACAGCAAATCCGGGCACTAATTCAACTCCCTGCAAAGTGCAGCTGGGTCTAACAACTTTCTTATAAAACCCCCCAGTTTCTTTGTCACGTTGTAGATGCTTGATCCCGAGGTAACCTCTCCCTCTCAGTGTTTTCTTTGAATAAAGGAAGATATATTCCTTGCCTTTTGCAGGTCTGGCTCTGGTTTCTTGTTTCTTACTCCTCCATCTTTCCTTTTAGTCTGCAAAAACCTAACATATGTAGACCAGGCTGGCCTTGAACTCAAAGAGATCCACCTGCCTCTGCCTCCCAAATGCTGGGACTACAGATGTGTGCCACAATGCCTGGCCTATAAACTCCTTTTAGAAAAAAAAAAAACCAGAAAAAAAAAGGAAAAAAAATGCTGGAGAGATGGCTCAATGGTTAAGAGCACTGGCTGCTCTTCCAGAGTATCTGGGTGCACTGGATGCTGGCAACTCTGGAGATCAAACCCTCAGCCTCTAACATGCTGGTCAAGTGGCTCTGGCCCTGAGCTATAGTCGCACCTTCCTGCTGGTTTGTTTTGAGACAATCTCCGGAAGTGCTGCGATAACAGACGTTCCACCCTGACAGGCTTCCTTATCTCATTTCCCATTATTCTCTCCCATTCCGCTCTCGGGTATACAACCCCTTATGGAGGGAGGGAGGGAGGTTTACTAAAATATAAAAGCACTTTCTAGATATAAATGCCTGAATAGCACCATTCAAACCTATTATAATCAAAGGAAAAATGTACTTCAGATGAACAAGATAGTTATGATACCTTTGCCCCTAGAAAATGATAGTGAAATGTGTGAAGCCTGAATCCCAGGTCAATTACATCTGATAGGGAATCAGGAAACAATTCGGAAATGGTTTCATGGTATCCTGCTCCTCTGAGACAGACTGATGAGAGAATTCGATATATTCTCTTTCCTCGAACGCTGAAATTTCCCTTTTCAAATGTTTTACAGTTTACAACGTGATTAGTTTCTTCACCTTATCCTCACAACGGTTCTAGGGGAAAGGAACGCTAGGGTGCTAACCCTCGCAGATTAAAAAAATGACCAGGAGCTGTCCCAGAGGCCGCACGGTTTCTAATCCTGGGTAATGAGCAGCTTGGTCCCGCAGCTACGAGGGCTGCGGCGGGCCTTACCTAAAACCCCCGTTCTGCCACGTCCTCCGTAGCTCGAACAAAATCCCGTGCTAGAAAAAAAAACAGGACTCCAGCGACCCCAAATTCAATGACGCCATCATAAGGGCACCAACCCTCCGCCCGCGCCGGGTCAGCAGAGCCCCAAGCGTTCCTCCCGCGGCAGCGAAGGAATCCCGGGTCCGGAAGGTTTGCGGGGGCAGGGCGTCGGAATTTGTAAACAAAGGCGCTCGGCCTCCCGCGATCCCCCGCGGACCCCGAGGCCCAACTGGGCCGAGCCCCGGGCCGCCGAGCCGGCAGCCGCGGCCTGGACCCCCGCAAGGCCAGGCCCCACAGCCCCGGGCTTGCCTGCTGCGCCCTGCCGGCCTCGGAGGGAGCCAGGCCAGGCCCGCGGGGCTCCTGGCCGCCCTGCCGTTCCCCGCACACCGCGGGACCCAGGCCTCCGAACTTACCCAGCTGGCGAGGGAGAAGACGCCCAGCACGGCCCCCATGGTGTCGGAGAGGCTCCCTGCCCTGCGCGGGGGTGACTGCCAGCTGAGGCGGCGCCCCACAAACGCGACGGTTTCTCTAACCGGAAGCCCGACCCGCCCTTCGCCCGCTGCCCAGCTCGCGTAATCGAATGGCCACGCCCATACCACGCCCCACACGCAGCCGCAGTGTCATTGGCTGAGGCGGACAGCGGGGCTGACCCTTTGGGGAGAAGGCGGGGCCAAAGCCGCTTGAGTTGCTGGGGATGCTGCTTTGTGGCTTAGGGCGCCTGGGTTCCTTTGGGGTTCCCTGCGGCTGATCCAAGGGGGCACAGAGGTGCAGAGAGACTCCGCGTGTCCCCTGCGAACTAAGTTTCCCTGAAGAAGCTGCGTCCGTAGGAAAGATCCTGCAGACTGTTTAATTGTGACTGGCTAGAGCGTTGTGATTATGGAGAGATGGAATGTTTGTAGGTCAGAGGCAAACAGGTTGTAAGCCATTTAATAACCACTTAGGACCTGTAATCCCAGCATTCCGCAGGATTAGGTCAAGGCTATCCTAGGCTACATGGTGAGTTCCATCCAGGCTAGTCTGGGCTACATGAGACCCTATTCCAAAACAATAACAAAAAGCCATTGACCTTAACTTTTGTATCTGACCTAATATTCTTGTAACTCACAGATAAACTTCTCTAAATAGATCACTAAGCTTACCTGGATCTCTGTCCTCCATCAACTCTAAAGCTAGTAATGACGGAACATCTGAAACCTATTAGACTTCCCCACCTTGCTATAGCTTGCCTGATGCTCCCACCAATGTAATTGGAAAACACATTGTCTTGTTATGGAGAAATTCTTCAGACAGCAAAGGGAACAAGCACTCACCCAGAGCTGGAAAGCTCATTTGTTCCTTACTCAAGCATGAGGATCCCAGTGAGCAACAGATGGCTATTAGATTCTGGGGCCCCCATCTGTAGTACAGATGAGAATTTTATAGTCAATTTTATGATTAGCACCTGAGCCCTATGTTTCTTTTCATGACGGACCATGTTATCTCAGAAAATTTCTTCCTGTGTTCATTCGGCCAACCTAGTTTTTAATTTTTAAAACTTATTTATGTGTATGAGTGTTAACGCCTGCATATATGTAAGTGCACTATGTGGTGCAATGCCTGCGGAGGCCAGAAGAGGGCATTAGATACCCTAGAACTGGAGTCACATCTCCGATGGTCATTAGCTGCCATGTGGGTGCTGGGATTCCAATCCCAGGTCTTCCGCAAGAGTAGCTGCTAGTGCTCTTAACCACTGAGCCATCTCTCCAGCTCCCAACATAGTTTTTAAAGCACATCTATATCCCAGCTCTGGGTCAGGACATCTGCCACCTTTTGATCTATGACTAGGTTAGGCTAATTGGACTGGAACCCAAACAGTCATTTCAGTTTACAAAATCAGATATCATTATCAGGCGTTTAGATTTCTGACATGTTTGAGCTACACATTTCTAGACTAATTTGACCAGGTGCCTCGTTAAACCATTTTGTGAACTTTTCCAAATTCCTTTAACATACATCCTTATCAATAGTCAGATATAGTGAGTGCTAAACATCATAAAGCTTCAAGACCTTAATGCAGAGCTATAAGATATCTCAGGGTAATGCAAACATCACAGAGTAATAAAACATCTCTGAGCATCCCAGGGCCACATTTCAAGGTCTCTATCTTGTAAGTAAAACAAAGAAAACTGCAAAATTATAAAATATAATTTTTCCTCATCAGTCTTACAATGACTTTGTTTTATGCCTATTAAAAGTTCAAGCGGGGGCCTGGAGAGATAGTTTAGTGGTTAAGAGCCTGTACAGCGCTTGCAAAGGCCAGGACACACTTCAGTTGACCTGTTGCAGGATTAGGCCAAAGAACCAAGAAGACAAGAACTGAGTCACAAGAAAACAGCTTTATTAACCAGCCAGGACCCAGGGCCCAGGCTCCAAAGAAATCTGGGCTGCAAACTGGGATTTTTACACATCATTTTCTAGTAAAAAAAAAAAATAGCAAGCATCAGCAGTTAACTACTCAACATTATATGATTGGTTAATTCTATCTCCAAGAAAAATATGAAAGGGATTTTTAGAAAAGAAAACAGACAAAAATGTTTACAGGAATGTTATGGTCAACTTGACCACAAACTATGTTTATATCTGGTGCCATCTGGTAGTTTATAGTTAGTGATTTTTTCTTATTTTGGTAACTTTTTACTTTATAACCTTGAGTGAAAAAATGTTTTGACTATTATGTTGGTGCATTCAAGGGTAGGGTGAACGAGGGCGGTGGGGTTCACATTCCAGAGCACATAGGAAAGGTAGCAGTTGCTAAGTTACATAGCTTACTTACTAAATTTTGGGGGTTCATGAACCAGGCTCATAAACACCTGTATCTCCTGCTCCAGGGGATCCACTGCCCACTTCTGGACTGCACAGGCACCTCCACCTGTCTATGCACAGACACAAACATTTGTGGGGTTGTTTTGTTTTTCTGTTTTTGAGACACAGTCTCCCTGCAGTTCCAGCTGGCCTGGAACTCACTATGTAGACCAGGCTGGCCTCAATCTCACAGAGATTCACCTGCCTCTGCCTCCTGAGAGCTAGGACCAAAGGTGTGAGCCACCATGCCTGGCAACAGTTTTAAACTTAAAAGTTTAAGCAGGCCAGGCATCCTGACTGCCATCCCAGCATTTGGGAGGTGGAAGTTGAGGACCAGGAGTTCAAGTCTAGCTTTTGCTACATATTAAGGTTGAGGCATGTCTGGGCTACATAAGACCCAGAGAGAGGAGGGGAAGAAGGAGGGGGAGGGGAAGAGGAGGAAGAGGAGGAGGAAGAGGAAGAGGGGGAGGGGAGGAGGAGGAAGAGGAGGGAGAGGGGGAGGAGGAGAGGGAGAAGGAGGAGGAGGAGGAAGAAGTTGTTCCTGAAAGTGCTGGTACATGCCTATAATCTTAGAATTGAGATGGGAAGATAAAAAATACTACAGGAGAGTGTTTTTTCAGTGAAAATCTATTCAAGGCCTGGGGATGTGACCTAGTTGGTAAAGTCCTTGCTCAGCATTCACTAGACCCTTTGTTTGAACCACAGAACCACATAAACCTAGGATAATAGGCCACGCTTGTGATCCCAGCCCTTGAGCAATAGAGGCAGGAGGATCAGAAATTCAAGCTCATCCTCTGCTACATATTGAGTTCCAGGCCAGCCTCGGTTACATGAAAATCTGATTTAAAAAAAAAAAAAAAAGCATATTCAAGAGCTAGGTGTGGTGACTCATGCCTCTATTCCCAGCACTTGGGAGGTTGATGTAGGAGGATTGCCATGAATTTGAGGTTGTCAAGGCAAAAACACAGCTCTTACCTCAAAGGTGATAAGTTTATTCTGGATCTAAATATGAGTGACCATGACCTGGGGACACATATTTAGTTTATCCTAAATTCCATGTTCCAACATGGTAACAGATTCATAAAGCTTTTAAAGTATCAGAACAAAGAAAGTCACAAATCGGGGCATTTCAAATGCATTGATGGAAACAGCAGGTAGACAGTTACAGCAGAGCAGGGGGAAGTCTCTGTTGTAGGTGTCAGATGCTATCTCACAACAATGGTAGCTTTGGTTGGTGAAAGCTAATGGTCTGTTAATACATTTCAGAAAGGTTTACCTCTTGGTCACAAGAATGTTAGGTCAGATGTAGAGGCGGGCAAGGAATGACTATTAAAGGGGCTAAAGATAGCCCAAGAGAAATTATAATCAGTCACTAGATCTGCAACATTCCAACCTTTCCACAAGCATTGAAGTTGTAACCAGTGAATCAGCCTTGCAGAAGGTTCAGTGTAAGGTTATTTCCAGGAACTTTCATTCGCAGTTTCCCTGTTGGCCAAGTATCACATTTTGTGCATAGAGGGCCCAAATATTAATTTTCCCTCCTTATTAGGAAGGCTCATTCCTAGTATCTGATGTAGATGAGGCTGACTAGTAGGCAGGAAAGCAGTCTTAAGGAGAGGAATAGCTGGTAAAACAATTAAAGAAGAAACTTCTGGGGGCTGGAGAGATGTCCCAGCTGTTAAGAGCACTGGCTGCTCTTGCAGAGGACCTGGGTTTGATTACCCGCACCCACATGGTGGCTAACAACCATCCATAATTCCAGTTCTGGATTCCATGGGCATTGCATGACATGGGTGCACTTACATCCATGTAGGCAATACACTCATTCATACACATTATATATATTCCTGGATCATATCATCCAAACCTAGTCATTATGATCCAGGTTTGATTTATATTTTTTCCCTGTATTTGACTAGCACATGACATATAATAGTAGTATACATAAAGTTAAAATAACTAAAGATATTGTCTGCCAAACTAAGTAAAGTTGGCAGATGAGAGAAACGGATGATATAACCAAGCAAAATTATATTGTTTTAAAACTAGATTAACTATGTCTCCCCATATATATGTATATTTATGTATGTTCTATGAATTATTTTGTTTTATATTTAGAGTATTTAAACATCTATTATCTTTTAACTTTGGAGTTTTGGTCAGTTTGATTTCACATCTATAATTTCCTGTAGAATGGCTAGCTCTAATTTTTATGAAAGATTGGTCTTTGATATCTAGATTATTATAACTTTTATTTGTGGATACTGACTTGATCTTTTTTTAAATCTTGGTATTATACCAGACTTTAGTTTGGGTAAGTAAATGAACAGTTACATTATAGAAGTAATGTACATTAAATATGGTATTTAAATTTTTAAATAAAATTGTCTTTTCTCATACCCTAATTATCATTAATGATGATAGAAATTAGAGGTCAGACCTGTTTGAAATCAGAAATTTTATAGGCATTGTAGATATCACCAAATCTTTTTTTTTTAAATCTTAATAGAGAAGGAATAAGGGGCCTCCTGCTTGCACAGAAAACACTTTATCCATTGAACTATATTTCATATTCTTGGCTCAAGCATATATTCTTTATTAAAACCTTTAGGGGCTGGAGTTAAAAGAGCTTACTGTTCTGATAACCAGAGTTCAGATCCCAGCACCATATCAAGCAATTCCAAACGCCTGTAATTCTAGCTCCAAGGGATCTTACACATTCTTCTGG